AAAGCTCTTGAAAAACAAATTAAATTAAAATATTTCATAAACATTTCTAAAATGAAATTAAACATTAGAAAATTATAAAAATTAGAGCCATAAATTCCTGGTTTAAAAATAAACATTAATTCTAATGCAAAATAAGGAAGAATGCATTTGATACATTTCTATTTGGTTGATTACTTAATTTAATCTGTAGATTACAACTTAGCAAAAACTCTACAGTTCATTCATTTGTAATAATAAGTATTACCTATAAATTCATCATGGTAAATCTATAATCATTTCTCATTCATCTCCCCCTCCCCCTGAAAATTTACTACGGTAAAATATCTGAGGAGGCTAATTCTTGAAAATACAGCTGCAGTTTCCTGAAAAGCATGAGACTTAAAGGGACCGTTTACTTATTTGGATAATTTCAGGATAAACTAAACAGCCTATTCGCTCTTGATTGGTAATAGTCTTACTTTTCAAAGACAACTGGGGCCGGAGAAAAAGCCGATTTTTCGTTCAGAATTAGGAAAAATACAGTAAAACGTTTTACGAAAACAATATTTTTTACCTGAAAAAATCAAATAAAAACAGAAAAATATCTTTTAATTAAAAGTAAATGAAAAATACATTCCAGAAATATTTATTTGGCGTACTACTATTTTTGTCTACAGCATGGGGTGCATTGTACAGTTATAGATATATCTAGAATTTTACCCAGTCAATAAAAATGTAATTTTTAATTATTAATACAAATTGTGCTTTATCTGAAAATATCTCTAAGCTTTCCTACTAAATATTTTTAAAAGGTTAGATATATATGAAGTGAATGCCCTACTCCAATAAATATTTTTAGACCAGTACCAATCCAGGTAAAACTCAATCTAGAACTAAAGGTTACTCACGAATACTATAGTCAATATCAATCCGGATACAACTCAGTCTGTATTCTCAGGTATCCAGGTAAAACGTAATCTAGAACTCAAGGTTCCCCAGGAATATCATAGTCAATATCAATCCGGATACAACTCAGTCTGTATTCTCAGGTATCTGTCTTATAACTCAATCAGGAACTCAATGTTTCTCACGAATACTATAGTCAATATCAATCCGGATACAACTCAGTCTATATTCTCAGATATCTGTCTTACAAGATACAACTCAATCAGGAACTCAAGGTTCACACGAATACCATAGTCAATATCAATCCAGATAGAATATCAATTGTTAAAAACACATAATTTTACGACAGGAACATAGACAATTTTTTAAATTTGATTTTACTTTATAAGTAAACTGAAATTGATAAACGTCTGAGCTGTTAGGAAAGTTTTTTAGCAGTTTAAAAAAAGGGGGGTTACGTTTAATTAGACAATATTTCAGAAATTGAAAAGTGAACTACGATGTCACAAAGCCTAACCAGTTCTGCGGTCGCATACATTTCACCTGCTTTATCCTTCTAGTTCAGTGTGATTAATAATGTTACAATCTTTTCTAATATTTACATTTATCGATCCATATCCCTTCTTATTTTTAAAAATACATCATTTAATTGTTATTAAAATCATAACTTAAAAAATATATTATTAACCTACCCTGAATAATAGATGTTATTACGCCAAGGAATACAGTGTCCACTGCTACCAGCCAGTAGTACAACAAATATCAAAGAAAACTAAAAATAAATAAACTCACTATAACATACAGTAAATATAAGATGACCAGAAATGAAGACAATTAAAAAAAAAACATATTTTCCATGGGTTTCATATATCCATTACTGGTTGCTTAGTATATATTGTGATTTTTTTAAAATATAAAAACAAGAAATTTTGTGATTTTTTGAAATATAAAAACAAGAAATTTTGTGATTTTTTTAAAATATAAAAACAAGAAATTCCAATTTTGTTATATAAATGTATAAAAATAAAAAAAGTATATTTGAATAAGTTTAAAAACATCCACCTGCATGATGCCTAGTTTAATGAATGTTAAACTTTTAACAGTTTAATTGTCTATTTATACAATTCTAAACTCATATAGATATTTAACTAGTTAGAGAGATAACTGTATACTGATAGATGAATTAATAGATTAAATGATTAATATTATAATAGATTAGAGTAATGATGAATGGTTTGATAATGGATGGTCTAAACCTAAAAAAAACATGGTTTCTCCAATAAAAAATAGCATAGAAACATGAAATAAAATTGGGACTCCGATGAAATAACAGTAGGATTTCGATGAAATAACAGTTGGACAATGGACTCCAATAAAAAAACAGTAGAATATGATGAGCCAAAACAGCAGTGGGACTCCGATGAAATAACAGAAGGGCTCCGATGAAATAACAAGTAGGACTCAGATGAAATAACAGAGGAAATCAGATGAAAAAACAGTAGGCCTCAGATAAAATAAAAGTTTTCCGATGAAATAAAAGTGGGTCTCCGATGAAATAACAGTGGGTCTCCGATGAAATAACAGTGAAATTCCGATGAAATAACAGTGGGTCTCCGATGAAATAACAGTGGGGCTCCGATGAAATAACAGTGGAACTCCGATGAAATAACAGTGGAACTCCGATGAATAACATTAATGAATTAAATAAAAGTTTTCCGATGAAATAACAGTGGGATATCGATGAAATAAGAGTGGGTCTCCGATGAAGATTAGATAATATTTTAGAGAGAATAATTGAAAATAGATGAATAGTTGGTTAAACAGATAGATACTTAAATAGATAGATAGATAAACGGATACACAATGTAAAATTGTTATAAAATTTTAAACATCGCAATTAAGTACGCTTGTCCAACTTGTTCGCGTCATTTGCCTGCTCACTGCACTTTTTACAATATTTGCATGCTTTTTGCTTTAAAGCTATAGGTCGGGTGTTTCAAATTTTTAATTTTCCCTTTCAGTTGGTTTGGAAACAAATTCTTTTTAAAATACTATTATATGAATGGCCATAATACACATGTGGACAATGTTCCAGTTGTACGAGTTGTACAGGGTTTCCCAGAAATGTAATTAAAAAGTAAAATGTCGTAATATAAGTATAGTATAAAACCCTCACTACTGCATGATAATATCGTAATTTAAGTATAGTATAAAACCCTCACTGAATTGCATGACAAAACGGAGCAAAATCACACTCAATTAGACAGAAGGTGGAGATCAAATCTAAAAAACATTACCGATTACATTTAGGAAATTCATAACATTTCTGGTCTGATCAATAGCGGCTTGAAAAGAGGAGTAATGATTAAAAACATTTAAGACGACAGCTTGTGTCACGTGATTGACAGCTGGAAGATCTTCGGCTCGACTTTAAATTGAGTGGGTCGACTTTGATAGTGATAACTTAGTTTCCCAGTCAAATTGTTCAAGTGCGGGTAAACGGCGGAAGTAACTTTGAGTAACCTGGGCATCGCTGGGTTCCCAAGCTATATGTAATATTATTATCTAACAGGTAGAACGTGAAATATGCTTTAATTTGACGTATCCTGCCACGGGTTTTTTATCTTTAACTATCATTTACCACAATATTCAAAGCTTTGTAACCCGTCACAGTTTACTTTAATTATTAACATGCAACATATTAAGTTAATAGGTTAAAAGGATTGTAAGCGTAATTTTTAAGTAACCTTTCAATGCCCGGTTTACAATCACACCCTTAAAACCATTGTCAATTTAGATAACTACTTTTCTTCAATTGCTAATTTTCTACAAATTTAGTGGCGTGCGCTTTTCAACTGCAGGAAGATTTATACAGGAAATATTAGAATAATGAACTTTTAAGCCAAGAAAAACTACAATATCTTCCACATTATTGATCAGATAAAGGTTGTTGTGAATCGGGCATTGTCTTTTTTGTAAAAAAAATCTTTTTAATAAATATTGCTTTTTTCATTTTAAATTTTTTTCCGAATCCCGGAGAAAGTGGAATTATAAACTACGAGAAGCGTGAATATATACTACAAAAAAGCATATACAAATTTTTTGTTAAAATTTTTCACATTTAATTAGAAGACTGAAACGTATTTATATATTGTACAATGTAAATTATAACGTATGTACAACGATAATTGTCTCTTTATGATCTGTTATTGCGATTATGAAACTGATTATATGTGTTTTGTGAAATGTTTCCTATAACCGTATACTAAGTGCTTTCAAGGAAAGGAAAAATCAATCTAATTGTTTGCTTTCAAGAAAAAAAAACTAATATTGTTATGAAATTATACTTTTCCTACAATTCTCCAATTATACCGAGTTTATTGCACAAAAATATCCAGACTATGAAAAGTTGCAGCAAGATGGGTCAACTCCAAAGTGACACAACTCCACTGGTCAACTCCAAAGTGACACAACTCCACGGGTCAACTCCAAAGTGACACAACTCCACTGGTCAACTCCAAAGTGACACAACTCCACGGGTCAACTTCAAAGTGACACAACTCCACGGGTCAACTCCAAAGTGACACAACTCCACGGGTCAACTCCAAAGTGACACAACTCCACGGGTCAACTTCAAAGTGACACAACTCCACCGGTCAACTGCAAAGTGACACAACTCCACTGGTCAACTCCAAAGTGACGCAACTCTACCGGTCAACTCCAAAGTGACGCAACTCCACGGGTCAACTCCAAAGTGACGCAACTCCACCGGTCAACTGCAAAGTGACGCAACTCCACTGGTCAACTCCAAAGTGACGCAACTCCACGGGTCAACTCCAAAGTGACGCAACTCCACGGGTCAACTACAAAGTGACACAACTCCACGGGTCAACTACAAAGTGACGCAACTCTTGGCCTTTTTTTATCTGCCTAACTCACATACTTTTTTTAGCTCTAAAAAATAGACATGTTTTTAGTTTAAATTTCTTTCAAAGCGTCGGTGCAAAATATGATTAGTATTTCAGTTAAATTCTTTAAAATAAATAAATTATGCACAGTAGGATTCACATTAAGCCATAAGCAAGATCAATCAGGTTTTAAATACTCATATTCAGGGATACACAAACACAGATTATAACTAGATTGTTTAGATGTGATTCTACTTTTGATTGATTGGTTGTGAAGATTTAAAGTTTCAGATTTAAAAATGAGTCGCGAAGTAAGTTTGGACCCTGATATAACAGCCTCATTTGTAAACAGGTTGGGCAAAAAATAAAATGTCGTTGATTCTTATACATGTCGTTGATAAGATAAGCATTGTAATGATTCAATGTTGATTCTGATTAATATACAGAGCATCCCGGTTCATATTTAATAATTATAATCTTTTAACGTCAAAATTGCGCACAGAATTCAATCGTTTCAAAATTTTTGTTTAGTTCCCAAAATCTCAATTTAGAGCTATCATACGCACCTTTTTGGGGCTAAAAACCCTGTACTTTACTTGATCTAAATCTGATTATTTTAAAGAGAATGCTCAACGATCCATGTTCATCATTCAATGTTCAATATCCAATATTCAATGTTCAATGATCAATGTTCAATGGTCGATGTTCAATGGTCGATGTTCAATGTTCAATATACAATGTTCAATATTCAATATTCAATGTTCAATGTTTAATTTACAATGTTTAATGTACAATGTTCAATATTCAATAACCAATATTCAATGTTCAATGTTCAATGTTCAATGTTCAATGTTCAGTGTTCAATGTTCTATGTTCTATGTTCAATGTTCAATGTTCAATGTTCAATGTTCATGTTCAATGTTCAATGTTCAATTTTCAATATTCAATGTTCAATGTTCAATGTTCAATGTTCAATGTTCAATGTTCAATGTTCAATGTTCAATGTTCAATTTTCAATATTCAATGTTCAATGTTCAATGTTCAATGTTCAATGTTCGATGTTCAATATTCAATGTTCAGTGTTTAATGTTCAATGTTCATTGTTCAATTTTCAATGTTAAATGTTCAATGTTCAATGTTCAATGTTCAATGTTCAATGTTCAATGTTCAATGTTCAATGTTCAATGTTCAATGTTCATGTTATTGCATCAATTATAAAGTATTGTTTAGATATTTGGAAGATACAGTAAAATGTCTAAATCAATTGTGTACACAGGTAAAATTAAATAAAAAACCTAAAATATGCTTCATAAACGATGACTGGACTTGATTATGTGCTAATGGTGAAAAAAAATGTGGAAGAAACATGAACTGTTAAACTAGGCTGAGATTGAAATGATGAAAATATGGCGCCAGCTTCAGCAACTAGAAGACAGCTTAGGTAGCATCTAAAAACTTAATCATTGTTAAAAATAAAATTAAAATTTTGTAGAAATTGTTGAGTATAAACTTAATTCAATTCCTGGGTTGGAAACTCAATTGAATCAGGTAAGCTTTCAAACTACAACATCTTTAAAAAGAAGAATATAAAGTTAACAGCAAAATTACTTGTTTCAGTTGAAAGAAAATAGTGATTCTAAACCCAGAGAGCCATCAGCTGGTTTATCAGAACCAACAACTATCACATCAACTAATCCACCATCAGCTGAAAACCCTGCTAAAAAATCCGTTGAGAAATCAGCTGATTTAGAGGTAAATTCAACAGCTGAAGTATCATCTGACTCTGCAACTGAAGTCCCTGCTGAAACAGCAGTATCTGCACCAACTGTGTCTGGAACCAAAGCTTGTGATCACCCAAGGTAATGAATTTTTTGATAAATGTAGATTTTGTGTAAAAAACTAAAATTTTCACATTTTTGATTAGGTATCAGAAATATTTCAAAATGTTGAAACTAGGAGTTCCCCTTCAGGTAAATAATGTATATACTTCTTTTATAATATTTACATTATTTAAGTTTAAGTTTGTTTTTAATCTTTGTGACAGAAACAATCTCATGAACTGACGAGGATCAAACCAGACCGAAATATATTTTCAATACATGTGGAACTAACATCTACTTTTAAATGTTTCATTCTTTACTTAATCATTTAATATATAATTAAAGTTTGCGTGTATTTTAGATAAATTACCAAATCTTCAATTTAAAATGTTAAAAAGTCTTACATTTTTGTATAATTTACCAATTATTATTATTTATCTATATGTTTTCCTTTAGGCTACGAAAAACAAGATGGCACTAGGGAAGATGAATAATGTTTGTCTTGAAACCCAAGCTTGCCCTTTACAAATATTGATAGAAGCTCAATTGCAAACAAATTAACATACTCCAAGAGATCTTGCAGAGCGATAGTGTCTTGAGTTAATAGATCATCTTACCCCATTTATCATTTAAAAAGTGTGGGAGGGGCAAGGTTGTATAATAAGGTTGCTAACTCTCGATGCGCTCCACTTAAGGAGTATTTAATAGAAAAGAGATATAACTGACGCGGCCCGCCCATATGATTATAAATGCTTTGCAGACGGCATACCATTTGTATAAGAAATATTCAGAATAGGTTATTGTATACGCGGAAATTGTACATTAGACAAATATTTCATATTCAAATGAAGTACCGTCTGCAAAACATGTATATAATCATATGGTAGGGCGGGCCGCGTCAGTTATATCTCTCTTCTATTTCATACTCCTTGGCTCCACTCCAATGTACGGTAAATGTCCTTCTCCTTGATAAAATACTCATATGACGTCACTAATCAGTGAGAACATAGGTGTGAGTGACGTCATATGAGGATTTTATCTATCTATGCCGAGGAGACGACATTTCCCGTGCATTGGAGCGCATCGTGAGTAAGCAACCTTATTCTTAGGGTGAGAGGATTGACAAGTTTTTATTTTTCTCCAACTTGTCTAAAAAGTTTGGCAAGTAAAAATAGTTGGAAAATATTTCCAACTAAATGTTAACAATCATGATCTTCTTGTTTGTGATAAAGAGGGACTTGACGGAAGTGTTCTAGATACCCCTGATCTACTCATGCTAGATTCTCAGGACCAGGTTTAATTCAATTATTATTATTATCATTATTATTATTATTATTATTATTATTATTATTATTATTATTATTATTATTATTATTATTATTATTATTATTATTATTATTATTATTATTATTATTATTATTATTATTATTATTATTATTATTATTATTATTATTATTATTATTATTATTATTATTATTATTATTATTATTATTATTATTATTATTATTATTATTATTATTATTATTATTATTATTATTATTATTATTATTATTATTATTATTATTATTATTATTATTATTATTATTATTATTATTATTATTATTATTATTATTATTATTATTATTATTATTATTATTATTATTATTATTATTATTATTATTATTATTATTATTATTATTATTATTATTATTATTATTATTATTATTATTATTATTATTATTATTATTATTATTATTATTATTATTATTATTATTATTATTATTATTATTATTATTATTATTATTATTATTATTATTATTATTATTATTATTATTATTATTATTATTATTATTATTATTATTATTATTATTATTATTATTATTATTATTATTATTATTATTATTATNGGGGGGGGGGGGGGGGTTAGCTGGGAACCATGAATAATACAAAATTTTGTACTTATTGTCTACTCTGATTCTAATGTCATGCAATCCTTCTTATTTGTTGAAATTACAATCTTTTAACCATGCCTTTTTTAATTGCAGGTATGCAGTTCACATTAAATGCAAAGAATTTGAAATATTTAATATAAGTCCAGTTATTTCTCTGGACATGGTTTTATTCTAGGATTTTATTCATACCGAAATCTAAAGGTCAATCTTCGGAGATGGTTTTCAGAAGCATTTCTCAATTCAAGTATTTGTTGATAATAGATTATTTTGAACACACATTATACAGGGTGTCCCAAAAACATGTGAATTAAGTGACGAATTCGATATAGTCTTTGCTATGAATTAGCATTGTAATACTTAATTTCAAAAGCCATAATATTATTATGTCTGCTAGAGTTTATTTTATGAAAAGGGTAAAAGACTGTAAAGATGTGTCTATAATGTTTTCGCAAGATTAACAGTGAAGACGGACAAGTTTGTAAACTGCAATTTTCTTGTTTACTAAGAACACCCTTATGCAGTCAAAACATAAACAAACACATTGTGAACATAGCAGACGAAAATCTTACAGATTACAGCTTTCTCAGTATGTAACACTATACTAAATCAAAGAATTTTTTAAAAAGACGATATGTAATTCATCACTAAATTTCCATGTTTTTTGGGACAACCTGTACATACTAAAAAAGGTTGGAAAGAGACATTGAAGTTTATGCAGGAGGAAAAGAAACAAAATATTTGCAAATGGTGGTTTGAGAGGAATCGTGATATTTAACAATCAAGATTTATCATGACTCAATGTATTTAATAAAACGGTTTGCATACTTTGTTACTGCTGAAAAAGTATTTCGTGCATACTTAGTTACTGCTGAAAAAGTATTTCGTATTTTCAACTAAATTTATGCTATTCATACTGTGATTAATTATATACCACGAATCTTAATCAATCGTTAAATGCAATTTGCAAATAATATTGAATTCTCGAAAGCTATACAAATAACATTTATTTATTTCTGAGAATTATTTTCTTCTATGTTTTCCCCTCGACTCAAGTAAAGGAAAATAAACTTTTAAAAATGATTATTCTTAATAGATTCAATTACAGTGTTTGTACATTGAGATTGGAGATTGCACTGGGGTGAGAGAATTAAAGATGTTTACTATACAATCTATAAATTGTAGCTGTAGAAAAAGCGGCCATTTTGGAAATCCACGAAGTTTTTGGAGGATTTTCCAGCCTTCGTCAGAGGAACCAAATTCTTCAGTGAATTTTTGAATTCTGTCAGCTGATTAAACTCTCTCAATTGTTGAACTGGAACTGTCTGCTCTTGATTCTTTTCAGCCAATCTGAAAATTATTGAGCAAAATGTTATTTTCGGGAATAAAAAAACGATTTGAGAGAAAAAAGATATTGTTTACCTCTGTTCAGATTGCCTTCTTTTCTCCTGTATCTTTAAAGACAAAAGCTCCTCTGGATGTGGTTCGATTGGTAGCTTAAACACTGACGTCACATCATTAGAAGTGATCTCATTGGTCAATTCTATTTCTTCCCTGCTTGGGAAATCAAGAAAGCTTCCACGTGTATCGACCAGATCAGCTGACTTCCTGTTTAGCGGCTGCTTAGTCAGCTGTTCAAACTTGGCAGTACTCAGGTAATCTAAACAAATTCAAATGCAAAAAAAGAAAATTGTAATCAAAAAACTTTAATCAAAAAACTGCACCTGAAATCGGCCTCAACGTTGTTACAAACTGAAAAATAAGATTATTTAATGTTATTAGTAAAAAAACCAGAATATTGTTCAAAATTAAACAAAATTAATCATTTTTTAACCTGATTGTTGCCCAGGGTGTTAAATGAAGAAATAGGATAGAAGACTCCAGCCTTGTAAACTAAAATATCATAATTTTTAAAGAGACCGTTATCAAAATTTTAAAAGATCTGTTCCTTAACAATGCTAATGCTCGACATGGTTATAGGAATTGAGTCTTTGGTTTTCTAATCCTATACCATTGCAACCCAATATCGCAGACCATAGGTATTTATAACTAAAAATTCGGTAAGATCAAATTATCTAAGTTTGAAATATCAAAGGTTTACACCATCAGGCTGCAAGGATATAGGGATTTAAAAATTTGACTTTGTGGCAAAAAAATAAATTCTTTTACGCTTAATTTGAATGGAATTCTTATTGCTCAATGCTCATAAACATGGATTACTTTGAATTAAAAAACCCACCATTGTTTGCTCCGAAAGTATTAACTGTTCTTGAATTTCCTCTGAATTGAATAAAAGGCCCTCCTTCATTCTCTCCCTGCGGAGAAGGTCCCCCCGGAAACTCTTCTCCCTGCGGAGAAGGTGCCCCCTGAAACTCCTCCCCTGCGAGCCTGCCAATCAAGCCAATAATCAGGTACACCTGAAATAATTTTTTTTTTCAATGATAATTATGCTCTGGTCAAAGTTGCAGAGACTATGGTAAGCAGTAAATAGGAAAAGTTGTTGAACTATTCATTAGCATAACAGCCATAGCAGATCTAAGGTTATAATTTGATAAAATTTACCAACTAATTCCACTCTAATTTTTTTGCGGATATTTTGATTTATCTCATTTAATTTTTGATGTATTTTTATGAATTTTTAGGAAATTTTGGAAAACAATAGAATTAACATTTGCTCAAAAAATTTTTTTTAAAATTTAAATGTTTCAAAAACAATATTGGTTTCGCCGATCTTTTTTAATGTTCAGAACAAAATACAATTTTTGAAAACGTTGTACAAAACATCGCCTGGACGTGCACTTTACGGAGGGGAGGAAGGCCAACCACATCAATCTCTAGTCCGAACCACATTCTCCTCATGTTCTCGTCCGAACCACCTCGAAATCCTCGTCCTTTCAATATTATTTTTTTAAGTGTCCGATCCTTGAAAATAAATACATTTTTTAAAAATATGGCGACGTTAGGGCATAGATGAAATATAAAAGTTTCCAAATTAAATTTTAGACTTGTGTAAAAATGAAAATGCTCCATAAACGATGTTCTACAGAAAAGCGTCTGTTTCAAGAGCCCTTTATTTCGCGGAAAATGCCGCAAAACATTCTCAAACTCGTAAAAAAACTTTTTGTAATATTTAAGCTGAATTTGGGTTAGAGATATAGCTTACAATTTTTATATGATTAAATACTGTTTGAATTCATAGGGTTGTGACCAATTAATTGTAGCAAATGATTTGAATAATATAAATTGAACATTATTTTTTCTATAATTTTAAGCATGCGGCAGGCAGTAGTGACCTCTTAGTGCGGGGACAACAAATCTACCTTATTTGTAAATAAATCAGAAATCAATGATTATTTTGTATGGGTTGAAATGGAAAGATTAAAGGCCATGTTCACGCGAATTCTTTGGTATAAATTTTTATTTGTGAACGTTATCGATTTTGGAGGCAGAAGAGATTCAATTTTTAACCTAAATAATGTTTGACATCATTCTCGTGGATTTGAAGATTCCAACATCTCAAAATCCTTTGAAAACTTTATTCAAGTCATGTTTTATGCCCTAACGTCGCAATATTTTTAAAAAATGTATTTATTTTCAAGGATCGGACACTTAAAAAAAATAATATTGAAAGGACGAGAATTTCGAGGTGGTTCGGACGAGAAAATGAGGAGAATGTGGTTCCGACTAGAGATTGATGTGGTTGGCCTTCCTCCCATCCTTTACGAGGAGGTCGAGTATCCTATTTTAAACACGTCAAACGATGCATACCTCATTAATATCCATAAACTAAATCAAAAATGAAATGTTATAATTTATATGTATTGTATATGTATCGGCAAGTATTTAAGATCATTAGGTCACTTTAAAGTGATTTTTGATGTAGTTATAACGTTCCATTGTAAATCTATTTACACACAATAAAACACAAGACATTATCTTCATTGGGCACACAGACGATAGATATCATCAAAAAAATTTGACCGTTCTGGGCCTTTAGAACATCTTTGAGAGTTGCGTATTTCTAAATTAGGATATTATGATCATTTAGAATTAAATAAACAATCACTGTAATGACGTGCTTTTTTGTACACGCGCCAAGATTGAGCTTTCTCTGAATTTGTGTAAGTGCGCACCCGGGCATGCAATTAAAAGTTCAAGCACCCTCTATCTAGGTTTACGCGCATCATATGCTTAGAACAGGAAACAAAGACCTGTCGCAATTCAATTCAATTCAATAAGATAATTTAAATATTGAGGCTGGGGGTGTGGGGGGGGGGACAGAGTCCTTGACGTTTGAAAATGATTAAATATATATCGTTTCAAGTGAACTGAATTCACTGTGAACTAGAGAGAAAAGAAATCTAATATTCATGCAAAAGGGTGGTACGACTTCGTGACCAGAGATGCTCCAGCTTTGATTTACGCACAAATATTAGAAATTCAAAGCATTTTTTTAACGATAGCTCCACAATATTTAATTACAAACAAGGCTTCAAAGTTTAAAGTGATATAGTTTTTATGGTTTGGTATCAATATTATACAAAATGGCGTCGGTTTGCTTTTTATTCCTTATTCGTAGATTTATAATACAATGTATCAAGATTTATTATTAAAGTTAGAAACTTTCAAAACATAAATTTCCAAAGTTTTGAGAAAACAAACTTATATTTCATTCATCATTCATTAGTTTCTGCTTTTTCATTATACAGTCATTGACTTATGCATCCTCATTCATCAATCCGGCCAATATTCATCCTAGTTTTCATCCTCATTCATCAATCGGCCAATATTCATCCTAGTTTTCATCCTCATTCATCAATCCGGCCAATATTCATCCTAGTTTTCATCCTCATTCATCAATCCGGCCAATATTCATCCTAGTTTTCATCCTCATTCATCAATCAGGCCAATATGCAGCCTTCTTTTCATCCACATTCATCAATCCGGCCAATATTCATCCTAGTTTTCATCCTCATTCATCAATCCGACCAATATGCAGCCTTCTTTTCATCCTCATTCATCAATCCGGCCAATATTCATCCTAGTTTTCATCCTCATTTATCAATCCGGCCAATATGCAGCCTTCTTTTCATCCACATTCATCAATCCGGCCAATATTCATCCTAGTTTTCATCCTCATTCATCAATCCGGCCAATATGCAGCCTTTTTTTCATCCTCATTCATCAATCCGGCCAATATGCAGCCTTCTTTTCATCCACATTCATCAATCCGGCCAATATTCATCCTAGTTTTCATCCTCATTCATCAATCCGGCCAATATGCAGCCTTTTTTTCATCCTCATTCATCAATCCGGCCAATATGCAGCCTTCTTTTCATCCTTATTCATCAATCCGGCCAATATTCATCCTTCTTTTCATCCTCATTCATCAATCCGGCAATATGCAGCCTTCTTTTCATCCACATTCATCAATCCGGCCAATATTCATCCTACTTTTCAGCCGACTTTTCATCCTACTTTTTATCCTCATTCATTCTGTCTTATTCATCATCCTTTTCATCCTCATTCATCCTGTCTTTTTCATCCTCTTTTAAATCATCCTCATTCATCCTGTTCTGTTAGTTTTTTTATTATTTAAGCAATTATATATATATACTTGGCTTCCAGAGCTGAACACTTTAAAATGGAATATCCTTAATCCAAATCGGTTTATTAATCTGGAAATTAATAAAAGGAGGAGAACAAGCATTATTTAATATCGAGATTAAGAAAAAGAGTGGATCAAGCATTGATCCCGAAATCCAACATTGAAAAGTTTCCAGCTCAGAGCACTCTATCTGCGGCAATTTCTCTTTTAAATCATCGAAATTTTCTGGTGGATTTTGAAAAGTATAATTTATTTCTACTCCTGCTTCTGTAAAGTCTAGAATCCTTGATTGGTCTGGAAATGTTGCCTCCAGCTATATGAGTACAAAGAGCTATATTTATAGTAGAAAGAGAATGCAGAATTTTAGCTACCACGGATACTCATTTCATCTATATATAAATTTGGCTTGTCTGTCTGTCTGTCTGTCTGTTTGTATCCAATAAACGTCAAAACGGCTGAACCGATCGGGCCCAAATTTCTTGTGGGACATCACGTGACCACAGGGAAGGTTTATGAATGATTGAAATTTTAAATATTTGTCTCCATCAAAATTCGATCTTCATTAAATTTTTGAAAATTTTGGAAATCCACGAAATTTTTTGTGAAAATTCGCGAATTATTTTTGTTTTGTTTTACGATATACACAAAGAGAACATGTTCACAATTAATTTAGAAGATGGGCGCGAAGCGCCCTCTAAGGCTAGTTCTTTAAATTCTTAAACAATTTACGCATTTTTAATTATCTACAGTGAGACTTATGAAACTTAAAATCTTTTAATCAAATTAAATGGCGACAATCTGGCACTGTGTCAGTAACAAAGCTGTATTTCTTGAGTCTAACAGTCGTCTGCCTTACTGTACATTTTTTGGGGGTTTAACGAGAAATAAGCGAAGAGAGCTAAGTTATTTCTCAGTGTTGTACTGCCTAAAGTATAGATAAATTATACAGTGTGCCTGCTAAACGAGAATCTTATTTAAAAAACTTTCCTTTCTTTTTTATGATTTTTAATAATGAAATTTTGATTGTTATAAACAGAGAAATTATTTGCACCCAAGTCATAAAAACAAAGCGTTTCACAGAAAAAAACTACTTTGAAAAAGTTTATGTCAATACTTTTTCAAAGAATAAAAAAATTACTTTATTGAGGGGTTTGATGTGAATGGAATTTGTTGCCAAAAATGCCCAACAAACTATTACCCCCCTCCACCCTCTTTCCCTCCCCCCCAGTATTAAGACCTAGATACACAAGACAGTTGGTAGAGTTGGTATTTAGATTTTATCATGCTTTTCATTATTTATCCTTTATTTAATTGGGGTTTTCAGAAAACATGAATATTATGAGAATTAATTTTAAAAATAACCTTTTAAAATAATTAAAATCATTTTAATCGCAATGTTTTAAACATTGCTGATGTTGAAAATGGTTGAAATGCTGGTTTATATGTATATATATACTCTTCCGCTAAGTTTATTGTGAGGAATTTGCGGCATTGTTCATTGTAATTGCGCTCGTTACTCAAAGTCTTATCTATATAGTCACAGATATTAATAAATCTATTTATCAAGAAAGTGTTCAGCGGGGGTTGGCATGATTAAAAGGCATATGATCATTTAAGAATAGAAAGTAGACAATTGGCGACAAACATTAAACCAATATTGAATGGTAATGTTACATCGTCTATACGTGCAACATCCGGCCCCTACTGAACTTCTGACCTACTAACTTTCTGACCTACTAATATTGGACCTACGCCAGCTGTTTATTTTTGTATTATTTGAGGGTTAGGTTAGGTAATATAATTTCTGGG